TCCTCGTGGCCTCCTCTGGACTTGTTCCAACAGTTCCATGTCCTTTTTATGTTGAGGACACCAGAACTGCACACAATACTCCAAGTGAGGTCTCACAAGAGCAGAGTAGAGAGGCAAGATCACCTCCTTCGACCTGCTGGTCACGCTCCTTTTGATGCAGCCCAGGATAAGGTTGGCTTTCTGGGCTGCAAGCGCACACTGAAGCCGGCTCATGTTCATTTTCTCATCGATCAACACCCCAAGTCCTCCTCTTGTATCTCTTCTTTGCCCAACCTGCAGCTGTGCCTAGGATTGCTCCGACCCAGGTGTAGGACCTTGCGCTTGTCATGGTTAAACTTCACAAGGTTGGCATCAGCCCACCTCACAAGTGTGTCAAGGTCCCACTGGATGGCATTCCTTCCCTCCAGCATATCAATTAAACCACACAGCTTGGTGTCATCGGCAAACTTGCTGAGGGCGCACTCAATCCCACTGTCCATGTCAGCGACGAAGATGTTGATTGTTCCCAACACCAATCCCTGAGGGACACCCTTTATTGCCAATGAAACTGCAAGTACTTTGGAAACTAAATACTAGAAGAACCTAGCACTGATGATATTTGGTTCTATGTAAGTTGTAGGTTTTGACTGCTATAAAATGAATAATGCATGGGAAAAATTAGGGTATGAAACGTAGATATGTCTATATACATCATACAGAGAGACAAGTCAACATTAGTTTAAATTTACAGCTGCTCTCACTAAATAACTTTATGCTTGATACTTCTTATACACACATGATCTCTTTTTACTGTATGGCTATTACCTTGGCATATGCTAAAGTCAAGCCACTGCTTAAAGATCTGGCTTAGACAGGAAAGTTTGACTTTCAATCCAAATTTTTTAAACACTGTACGTTGGGAAGGGTCAATATAGTGAAGAAACAGTTTTGAACATGATGTTTATCCTTAGTGCCATGGTTTAGTGGTGGACTTGGCAGTGCTGGGGTAACACTTGGACTTGACAATCTGAAGGTCTTTTCCAATCTAGTTGATTCTATGATTCTATGATCCTATATTTGTGGACATCAGTTATACTGCTAAATATAAGAAGTGATGTCTTTCTAAATAAAAAAGAGCATTTACGTTAAATCAATTAAAACTGACAAAACAACAGCTGCGAAGCACATAAAATATACAAATTCCAATATTAGGTACATTGACCGCTGTTATAAACTGTTTGCTGAGGTTTTCTGAAAAATCCACCTAGATATTCCAAATAGAGGATGTGTTGTCCTTCAGAGGAGCATTGGGAATCTTCTGAGACCCAGTAACCAAGACGTCCTTGAGTAATAACCTGAAGTGCTATAGTCGTAAATGTGCCATCAGACCAATTACTTACACTTCTTCCTAGAATCCACTGAAAGCTGGACTCAGAAGGGGAGTTTACACAGATACAGCACACTCAAGAACCACTGTCGGTATAGAACTGTATTTGAAGTTTTTTCTTTTTTGAAGTGGACTCTTCATTTCCTTTCCATTAGCGCCACATAGATAATGAATCCATGACAAGCTCATTGCAGAACTCCAACCACATTGAGTATCAGGCATTTACCTCAAGAGGGTTTTGATGAGAAATATGTGCAAGAACCTCAGGTACCATCAAGGAAGTGATCATAGTTCCAGCAGAGCTGAGACCTTGAGGTATTACTACTCAAGCTAATAGGCACGTTTTGATGCACTGCCTAATCCACTGAAATAGCACCAAGTGGAAACAGCATTTTCTTTACACTGATTCCCAAAAGTACAAAAAGTCTAAATCCTATGGTTTTATCAAAAAGAGGAAAAAATAAAAGCTCATAACACAGTCTAGTAAATGGAATATACTTTCATCTTGGGTGAGAATGAGTTTGGGAAAAGAATGCGAAGACATTTGTAGCGTGGTTGTCTGTTGAACATGGGAACCATTTCTGGTGTAAATATGGATGAGGGCAGCCCCTCATTTTTCATTTGTATTACAGTAACAGGAGATTGTACGTTATAATTTTCTTACTTGTTTTCTCTGTTTTTACTTTCTTACTTTAGCAAGTGAAACAAAAACTTGCATTCCCCAGTGCCAATAGATCCTAGAAAAGAATCTCTCACTAATACGAAGTTAACAAATACAGTGAACATTTCCAAATCTTAACATGGTTTGATTGAAACAAAACCCTCAAGCCCTTGATTGGCAGATGATCAGTTCACTGGAGAGAAGGCACATCTGCCCGGAGGACAAGGTGTGGTGGTGCCCACCAAAACTGCTCTACCACTCCCCTTCTCGGCGGGACAAGGGAGAGAAAATACAGTGAAAGGCTCATGGGTTGAGATTAAGGACAGGGAGAGATCATTCAGAAATTATCACCACAGGCAGAATAGACTCGTGTTGGGGAAATCAGATTAATTTATTACCAATCACAACACAGTAGGATAATGAGAAATAAAACCAAATCTTACTAACAAGTTCCCCCCACCCCTCCTTTCTTCCTGGGTTTAACTTCATTCCCAATTCTCTGCCTTCTCCACCCTCAATGCAGAGGGACAGGGAATGGGAGTTGTGGCAAATTCATCACACACTGTTTCTGCTGCCCCTTCCTCCTCAGGGGGAGGACTTCTCACTCTTCCCCTGCTCCACTATGAGGTCCCTCCCATGGGAGACAGTCCTCCATGAACCAAAACATGGTCCATTCTAATCTGATCTATGTTCTAATCTGAAATATGCTCTGATTAGTTATAGTCTACTACAGGAAAGAAAAGGAAAAAGAAAAAAAAACATGAGAGAATTTGCTCCTGTAACAAAATATGGCACTGTAAAGTCTGAATATTTTGCTCAGAGGAATTCTTTTCTTTCCTTTTGAAGAAATACTTGCCAACTTTCAGAGTTATGTAACTACACCTCACCATTTATCACAGGATTATATTCCAGCACAATGGGGATGAGGATGATGAGGATGATGAGAACAAAGACATCCTTCTCTGTTGGAAGCAACCCCAACCATTCCACGATTTGTGATCTGGAAAGCACCTCTCAGAATTGACACTGTTCCTTTAACTACATGAGCTACGCCCTGCTATTGCAAAGAGGTAGGTGTGAATAAATATAAAAATTCCTCCCACTAAGCTTTAAGGACTCCATCCCTCCCTTCTTGAAATTGATTAGAATTTGGGGAAAATGGCATAAAATCATAGAATCATAGAATAGTTAGGGTTGGAAAGAACCTGAAGATCATCCAGCTCCAACTCTCCTGCCATGGGCAGGGACACCTCACACTAAACCCTATCACCCAAGGCTTCATCCCACCTGGCCTTGAACACTGCCAGGGATAGAGCATTCACAACTTCCCTGAGCAACCCATTCCAGTGCTTCACCACCCTTACAGTAAAGAACTTCTTCCTTACATCCAACTTAAACTTCCCTTGTTTAAGTTTTAACCCGTTACCCCTTGTCCTATCACTACAGTCCCTAATGAAGAGTCCCTCCCCAGCATCCTTATAGCCCCCTTCAGATACTGGAAGGCTGCTATGAGGTCTCCATGCAGCCTTCTCTTCTCCAGGCTGAACAGCCCCAACTTTCTCAGCCTGTCTTCATGCAGGAGGTTCTCCAGTCCCCTGATCATCCTCGTGGCCCTCCTCTGGACTTGTTGCAACAGTTCCATGTCCTTTTTATGTTGAGGACACCAGAACTGCACACAATACTCCAAGTGAGGTCTCATGAGAGCAGAGTAGAGGGGCAGGATCACCTCCTTAAAATAACTCTACGGTTAAGGCAAAACTGGAATTCAATTTAATAGCTGGTTCTTTTTCTACTCATGCAACACTGACTGTCTGCTTTCACAAAGTCTCCACAAACAGCAGGCAGAGATATTTTGGTGGTTATAAAAGCAATCTTCAAATGGAGATGTTCTGCAGTGGTTACTGTGCTCTAGTACCCATGTTAGGAGTGCTTTGTTTAAAAAAAAATCCCCAATTCAGTAAATCTTTGTTTAGCCACTGATACAGAAAATAACTGTCTGGCCACTTCATAACATCAACAAATGCTGAAACTGACATCGAGGGTCCACTCCAACACCTTCCATATAGCTGCTGTTGTGCCAAATAATTAGGAAATATGCACTGCATGAGTGGTTCACTGATACTGCGCTTATTTCACCTGTTTCCATACAGTACCTGGGAGAGTGGGGTGCTTGTGAAAGGCAATGCCCAGCTCCCAAGGCAAGTGCATCCAAAGAACATGAACCTCTGAAAACATGTTAGGAGTGAACTAGAGCTATGGAACAGGAAATGCTGACTACAACAGACCATCTGAGCTCTGTAATTTACGTGCTAGAGGCATGGCTTGGTGTCACAATATCCCAAGTGCTGTTCCAAGAGTAGATCCTTTAAGTGCCAGGCTATATGACAGTATTTGATGGCCACCTACCCATATCACTGAAGGTGGGCCCATGTGCTCCCAGAAATCCAGCATTCCTAGTGAAAAGAGTGATAAACAAGTGGGATCCCCTCCAAAATATCACTGTAGTCTGAGACACACTTCTAGGGGTAGAAACAAGGTAAAATACAAAGCCAGTCAGAAAGCAGGTATTTCTATGCCACAGCAAAGTTAGAAAGCTACTGCAATTACATATGTACACATGCTAGATGAGGTGCTTCAGATGTGGGTTTGGGCAGATGCTCTAGGACTAAATGCCTAAATAAAAGGAAACACTGCAGAATCTAATTTCACTACTTGCTCATGGTGTCAGACTTTCTTACCAAAAAATACTATACCAGGAATTATTTTACAAAAATCAGCACAGGCCATCCTTTCATTTCCTCTGACTCCACATTGCTCTCATGTTCTACAGTTTTGGTCTTTTTTGTTTGTTTTTTCAGTGAAATGGAAAATGCAATAGACACAATGGACTCTACTTCAGAAAAATACGTATTTTTTTCATTTGACTTTGGATTAATTACACAATAGCTCTGCTAGCTAAAGGCTCCATAACAGATTACTCACAATCCTAGTTCTGCCTCCCTTCCTCCAATGTTAACATACTATCTCTGGCATCGCTACCGCTCATTCCGAATGTCTGATTTCTAACTCAGACACCAAACATTCAAAAAACAAGGTAAGTTATCAATTCATCCTAGAACTTAGATTCTATGTTTCCATGATATAATATTTGCAGCAGAAATCATTGTCTGTTTTTTTCTCCTCTTCATGACCAATTTCTCCTTCACCAAGGAGAGAAACTCCCTGCAGCACAGATAAGACTCACAACATAGTATTTGACACTGCAAGATAAAGTTTAGATCGAACTATGTGCATTAGATCAGTAGCTACCTGTATGCTTTAAGTTGATCCAACAATTTCTTTGTGTAGAGCATGTAAAATAAAATTTTAAATAAACTATCTTTGACATTTTTAGCCACATCAACTTAAAATGTAATTATTCATTTAAAAATAGACTGGCAAATTTTTTTCTCAGTCATGTTCCCATAGATAATGGCTGCAAAATATTCCCTCAATCTTACAAGATAGGCGTCCACTTTATACACTTGAATGAAGCCATAGCCTGTTTAATATATAATAAACATAAACAGAAATAAAGTAAGTAAAATAATGAGAATTTATAAAACTTCATTTTGTATTCTGGCTTTAAGCAGAAACAATCCAGATTCTTCCTTCACACTGACTGTTTATTCCACCAAAAGTCACCAGCGGAGAAATCAAACTGCTAAATTTATACACATGTATTAATAGTTTTAATTTGGTTTCTTAAGAAAATTATACTCTTTACTCTTGTCTGTGTGTCAGTCTAACCTTTTTATCATTTTTAATCCATTGATAAAGCTAAATCTAATCTTCTGGTTTGTTTTCTCAGAAAAGAAATTCTCCAAAATAGGTAATTCCTGCAAATGCTGTGCAAATCTGCAGGTGAGCACTAGGAAAGATTGTCTTAGTACCAAAACCGAGGGACATGTAGGGATAACTCAGGCCTTAATCACATGTCTTGGTGAAATCTGTAGATCTAGCCCAGTCAGAGCTCGTTGTTTCTTGCCAAGCTGGAAGATCTAACAAAGCCTGTGGAAGACAGTGGTGGCATGGTGGCCATGAGTGCTGCAAACATGGGGAGGAAGTAGAGAAGAGAGGGGAAAGGAAAGGTGGCAGGTGGTAGGTAAATGTTTGGGGATTGTGAAGAGCACATATTGTATGTGCTACACCGCTAAGCACATATGTGCACATATGTGCACAAAAGATAAGCACAAAGCTCATGTTAGCCGGGCAGGTGGAGATCATTAGGAATTCTTTAGTTCTGTTGCTTGGTGAACTAACTGTCAAATGTACTTGTTTCTCAGTAATGGATACAAGAGAGTAACCAGGCTACTTCTCATCTGTGACACTGGCCCAAATGCATGTGTGAACAATTTCTTGCTTCTGTGTAGAAACCTAGTGACTATAGAAGTCTGATCAAGTTTCAAGGCCTTAGCTCAAGGGGTTCATTGGTTAAGATCAGCTCTGAATTTTGAGCCACAACACTTAAATTTCAGAAATGTTTGGATTTAAGACATGGTAGAAATTGGACAGAATGGCCTAGTTTTAATTTGGTTGAAAGTTAAACGGATGCAAAGATGGAATTCTGATCCATCCTCCCACTGTGCAATCCTTTCTTTGGATTACACAGGTTGGCAATTCTATCACCTATGCAGAAAATAAGCTATATGCACTTCATTCTTAAATGTTTCATTCCCTTAATTGTGGAAATTTAACTTAATTTTCTGATAAGTAGAGGTTCTAGTCTTCATCCTTCACTATGTACTGGCAAATCTGAGATATGTGTATTGTAAATAGCAGCTCTGCAGTGCATAATAAACAGCAGTCAGGGTCAGAGTCCCATTTACAGTCAGATTGTGGTTAACCACAACACTGAGCGCTGTTCTATCATTCAAAATTAGCTAAAAAATGCTGTGGCTACATAAAGCAAAAGACTGACTTGATGAAATTTGGATCAAATGGGTTACCAATTCTTTTGTAACAGCAACTGTAAGATGGCTTTTGGCAGTCCCCATTCTTTCTGCTCCACTTGACACCCATAACTAAACCTCTTGCTGCTGGTCCACTGGTATCTCACCAACACCCCTCTGCTTCCAGATTATCACTGCAGTATGTCACTTTCCCCTTCATGAGCAGGCTTGGGCTCATCTTCTTTTTCTTCTCTTTTTCTTAGATGATTATGAAACTCAGATCCCTCCTCATCGGCAGCTACTTTTTCTGAGCCCCTATTCACAGCTACTCCTGGGACTGAAACTCCTCACCTGAGATCTTTGCTATCCTTAGTAGCACAGTTGGCTTTATTCTTATATTTATTTACTTCTTTCAATCCCTTTTCCACTGAGAAAAGAAGTGTAGATTTTGCAGTATAATTGAAAATCAGTTCCTCTGTCTGTAAGACCAACTTCTGATTCTAAGTAGCAGAAATACAGGCATACTCTTATAAATCCACTCAGTGCATAATAATTCATATTATAATATTGGTTTACAAATAGTTTCAGCTAGCAAGTTTTAAACTATCATAAATCTAAAAATCCTAGGAAAGTATTTACTGTTGCTGTATTTATTCTGGGCAAATATTTACTGTTGCAACTTACTTTCTCTTCAGTGCTATTATCTGTCTCTTCAGACTTCGATGACTCAGAATATTTTTGCCTTAACACATGAATGAAGCAAATTCTTTTCCTTATTCTAACTTCCCCTAAAGAGGAAAACTGTTCTGTAGATGGGTGAACAACACACAAGAGCACTCTGTATTGAAATACACAGTGAGGTTTCTATTGTAAGAACGGCCTAAATATGGCTTGCAGAATAATCACTGAAAGGAAATACATTATCTGATAACTCAAGAATTCTGGCACGAAAATTATACATTGTAGATTTATTTCCATATGCTGTGAAGTTTTATCATGCTCCACTGAACTGATTTTTTGTGAGGTTTGTTTTACTGCTTTGTGAGTCTGAAAATCATCCTTTTTTTTTTTCAATGATAGTTACAGAGTTTTCATATTTTAGGATATTCGCATATTTAACTGCAAAATATATGTATAGCTCCTTAAAAACATTAAGACTATTTAACACTTATTAAGAACACCAAAACTATGTCAACACTGTAAAACAGAACAAACGTATTATCTCCAGTTGCTATCAGACTGGATTTCTTCTTGTGCAATTATCTTGGGCTTAATACATTTATATACAACTATTTTAACTGGATTCAGAAGGTTGAGGCCCTAATCTTGAAACCAGTTCTGCGGTGATGCTCTCTTTTTCCACCTACTGTGGAAAAGCTCACAGCAGGATCGTGTCATTAAACAGTAACTGTAAAAAACTGCCGCCAGATTTAATTTATATTAATATTAAGCACCAGCGTTTGAGATATTATTATTTAAAATCAGATTAGTTTTATGTGGGCAAAGGAAGGCCATACAGGCCATTGTTCAAGATGTGAATTGGCTGAGAGACAGCTCTAGCCAAGTTCATCCTCTGAGCTCTGAACAAAAACTCTGCTAGATAGAGGGGTGCTAAGTCCAAGGACACGTGCAGAAATGCTACAGAAAATTTATATAGGGGTAACTTGCTGCCACCTAATTGCTTAGTCATGTGTCAAAACCAAGGCACAAATTTTGCTGAGTTGTCACCCAAGGAGATAATGACAGGATCAGAAACAAAACCCTTGCCTACTGCCCAAACCATCCTACTCTCCATCCTACCTTCAGGGGTGTGCTTCCAATATGTATTATTGGTACGCTCTTGTGAAAGACAGCTATTGATTAACTGAAAGATAATAAGATTAACAGCAGCGAAACAGAATGAATTTGAAGGTGGCAATGCTGTTTGTCAAGAAGACACCTAGTTTATGTATCAGCCACACCTCTGACAACACTAATGAAGCTAGGAATCATTCTCCAATTGATACTGTAGGCAAGTACTACAATCCATAACAACTCTCTGGCAGAGTGGGTGTGAAAAGTTAAGAAGGTCATAGAAAATAGATATAATTGACCTGCGTTTTTACTTCACAGAGTGAAAAGTTCACATGCACATTTTGATGAAGACCCTGAAGGCCTTTATATAAACCAGATAGAAGATAAGCGATCCGAACTACAGATATCCAGTGCTGACACATGACAAAAGGTAATTACAGAAGTACTAAATGTCAAACTGTTTTACTCTATTCTTCTAGATAGTGATTGCTGTTGCAAATAAAGCAATTTTTCAATACTAAAAGTCAGTAGGTCATAAAATCTCATAACACTGATTTCTTACTGTTAGCCAAAAGAGAAGATAACAAAATCTCTTTTTTTTTTAAGCTAAGCAGAAACAAGGTGAAAAGACTAGCAAATTGTTCAAGCACAGGAAGAGTCCTTGCTCTGCTGCCCTACTATTGTTGCAACTCCTTTTTGCAAGGAAGGTTTACATCAGCAGGTCTTTAAAGTGAGAACACCAGATCACATCAGAAATTAATTATGTAAATGTATGTGTTTATGTAAATGTATGTGTTTACAGCAACAGATCTGAAATGTTTCTTTCCACTTAGGCTTCTATGAATAGACATTTTAGTTCATCAACTGGCCTTGCAGCATGGGCTGCTATTAAATAGCAATCAGAACAATAGTTAAGTCCAAAGCAATGAGTTAACTATAGTTCAATCTGAATTTTAACTGTATTTGCACCTAAACAAATCAGATTCGTCTATGTTTTTGTGCACTATTTCAGATTTAGCTATCAAACTACTAAACAGACCTGCAAGGTTAATTTCAGTGCAGTACTGAAAATACAGCATAAACATTTGTTTAGTTTTCCTTTTATGTGCTGTAACAACAATTTTCTCACTGAACTGTACAGCTCTTGCCTTTAACATTTTATCCTATGCACGTTAACTGAGAACTTATTTAAAGAATTTTAAAAAGCACGCTGGCAAACACTTTGATTTGATTTACAAATCTTGTAAATTTCCAAGGTGTCTTTAAAACCAGAGGTATACATCCGAGTACACTGTATGAGCTGAATAAACTTACTAGACCAGATTGATTATCTTAGATCTACAACACCCTTAAACACATTTTTTGTATTCTTTTTCAAAATGTTTTGCCATTTTAATAACTTTCAGGAGCTTCTTTACATTGACCTTTATTGTTTTGAAGCAGGCAATAAAATAGGCAAGCAATAAATTAAGCTTCACTAATATTTGAAAATCACCTTTGAATAGCCATTTACAAGGCTCACTGAGCTTGTTACAAGCATTTGTTTTTAAGTGTGGGGGGGGTCTGATATACTTGAATTCCAGTTAATCCAATGAGACTTGTATCTTGCTTACTTCAATGTAATATTAAAAAACCCTACAATGCCTGTATGTGTCAGCCTTCCTTTTAAGAAAAATTTGATTGCAAACACAAACAAAAAGCTTTTCTTCTTTTGTACTCCTTTATGATCTTCAAACAGGTTTCTATGAAAAGGACTAATATTTTTTCAATTTTAAGCCATACTCACCTTTTCAGTTAGGAAAGACAAAAATGAGAATTTCATGTTACAATAATTAATTTCTGATTGTAATGCTACAGTATAGTTTATGCTCTGTTCTAATTATGCAGATATGCATTAGGGAAAATAACTTTGAAGAAAAAAATGCATTTGTTTAAACATTTCCATAATCACATCTGAAACTGTTGAGCGGTGGGATCATATATAAAACAAAATGTACACAGATTTCTGTTGTGAACTACAAACTACTCTACTACTCTTAGGAGAGCCATGGGAGTAAAGTATTTGGTCTGTAAGTGCAGGTAGTTTCAGAAATCTCCTGTATTAAAAAATATAAACAAACTAGGTCCAGTCCACAATATGAGAGAAACAGCAAGTTGGGGAGGGGGGAGTTGGAGAGATACAGAAGGAGGAGAAAGATCAAAAAACTATAATTTAAGCAATCCAGTTACCAAAACCAAAAGAAAATTTTCCTGCCAAACAGAATTAATGTGAGGTGCTCAGTTAATTCATCAGTTTACTCACTACATGAGCTTCTCTTTTTAAGCATTCATGTCTCTGACAGTGATACTCATCTGAATGTGGCCAAACAGGATGCAGTCTTTCTGAATCTGCTGAAGAATCCAAGGTAATCCTGCCTTTTGTCCAGGTTGCCAGACTGCTGTCTGTAAGACTGATGGCCACGTGACAGTGTTCTGCTATCACAGTGGCTAAGTGCTGTCCAAGAACGTATGCATTAAGGAAAAATCCTATGGGCTGAATCTCTTCCAGTGACTGTGTAGGGGTCCCAAACTGACTATAGTACTAACACAAGTATTTCAAAGGCTGAAAACTCAGTCCAGCTTCAGTCTACCTTTTATGTGAGCAGAGTAAGACAAGCTGTCATTAAGACACCTGCGGTTGCCTTTGACCAGTGTTTTAAACAGCTTTGGTCTTAAACCTGTCCTACAATAGATTTAGTAACTGCCAGCACCATCCCTATAAATCAGAGTATCCATAGTTTGATGAACTGAGTTTCAGGATCTGCAAGAGATCACACAAATAACAGGTATCATCAAACGCTTCCGAAGGAAAACTTTCCTCTTGTAATAACACCATAACCACTGGATTGTTAGGTGTCTCTTCATGATCACCTTCCTCATCTGCCTCAAAAAGCAGAATGATACAGTATCTTTATTTTACATAGAATCAAAGGTTGGAAAAGAGATCATCAAGTCCAACTGTTAGCTCAGGACAAGCTAGATACTGACTCTGATGTAGAGGTAATTAAATTCTCCAAGCCCAGTTTCACATCTGGAAAGAATATATGTGACTGTTCTAATTTCTGGTCAGCATAGGCTAGTAGTCCTTCTTAATTCTGCAGAATAATACACTGGTAGAATTTGTACATTTTATGTTCTAGAATCTTCTTTAAATGTCAAATGGACTTTCAGTCAACTCCTTACTTCAGAGATGACCAGCTAGCTCGCAGATTCTTCCCAATACGTAGCTGAATTATGGAGAGAAACATGAATTGGTTCTCTACAGAAATAACCACCTATTTTTTAGATAATACTGGTGATGCACTATCTGGCTTCAGGCTTACTGTCTAACTTGTCCAGCTGTATATTGAGTTTGTTTTCCTAGTGGACAGATATGAAGGAGACAAGACTGACATAATTAAGTTCATCCTTACTACCTTTAGTAACAAGTTAGCATACCCAGTATATCTGACCATCTATCCTTTCTTTTCATTACAATGCTTATTAGCTCTATTCCCATCATTAACGGATGGATTTATGGTATTTGTTGAAAATAATTAATACAACGCAGTTCTTGCTAATATAAGACATGTTTATTGACAGAATCAACCCTCCAACATCTGTTAAAATTATAAAGTATAATAACAGGAGGATTAATTACTTTACTAAAGAATAAGATTAGGCAGACTCCTTGTTTTCAGTTAACCAGTCATTCTTACCTATCTGGTTCTAATATTAAAATACCAGTGATGAACTCAACAGCTACTTAAACATGCTGCTAGCAGAAAAACCCATCTGGCTCATTTAAAAAAAGTTTGTAAATTAATATTGTGTCCTGTTATAATTCAGCTCAGACCAAAAACTATTGTGGGGTTGATTGTCCCAAGTCCATAGCAGAGTGCGTGCACGAGTATTTTCTTTCAAATTACAGTACTATTACGGTTTGCTCAAGAATGCCCCATCCCTGGAAGTGTTCTGTTCTATGGTTCTATGAATAGTACCAAACACACTTACCACATTAGGGTTAAAGTTTGCTGGGCATTGTCTGAACTGTGATATTGCATAATTCCTTAGTACTTTGTTAAATTGTTGTCATAGGTCTAATGTAAAGATCTCTTTGAAAATCTATAAACAATTACCTTCAAAACAACACATGACATAACCTTAAATGACTAATATTTTCAAAGAACTTACATACTACCAGTCATCACTTGTATTCATTCAAAAGCTCCAAATTTATATAGAAAGATCCTGATGAGATCCATCTGCAGGTCCTGAAGGAGCTGGCGAATGAAGTTGCGAAGGCGCTGGCCATCATACTTGAGAAATCATGGCAGTCAGGTGAAGTTCCCGATGACTGGAAAAAGGGAAATATAACCCCCATTTTCAAGATGGGGAAAATGGATGACCCAGGAAATTACAGACCAGTCAGTCTCCCCTCTGTGCCTGGCAAAATCTTGGAGCAGGTTCTCCTGGAAGGCATGCTAAGGCACATGAAAATCAACAAGGTGCTTGGTGACAGCCAGCATGGCTTCACTAAGGGGAAATCCTGCCTGACCAATTTGGTGGCCTTCTATGATGGGGCTACAGAACTGATGGACAAGGGTAGAGCAGTTGATGTCATCTACCTGGACTTGTTCGAAGCGTTCAACACTGTCCCACACAACATCCTTGTCTCTAAATTGGAGAGACATCAATTTGATGGATGGACCACTCCGTGGATAAAGAAGTGGCTGGATGGCCGCACGCAAAGAGTTGTGGTCAATGGCTCAATGTCCAGCTGGAGACCAGTAACGAGTGGTGTCCCTCAGGGATCGGTGTTGGGACTGGTCTTGTTTAACATCTTTGTTGCTGACATGGACAGTGGGATTGAGTGCGCCCTCAGCAAGTTTGCCAATGACACCAAGCTGTGTGGTTCGGTTGATAGGCTGGAGGGAAGGAATGCCATCCAGAGGGACCTTGACACACTTGTGAGGTGGGCTGATGCCAACCTCATGAGGTTTAACCACGCCAAGTACAAGGTCCTACACCTCGGTCGGAGCAATCCCAGGCACAGCTGCAGGTTGGGCAAAGAAGAGATTCAGAGCAGCCCTGTGGAGAAGGACTTGGGGTGTTGGTTGATGAGAAAATGAACATGAGCCAGCTTCAGTGTGCGCTTGCAGCCCAGAAAGCCAACCGTATCCTGGGCTGCATCAAAAGGAGTGTGACCAGCAGGTCGAAGGAGGTGATCCTGCCCCTCTACTCTGCTCTTGTGAGACCTCACCTGGAGCATTGTGTGCAGTTCTGGTGTCCTCAACATAAAAGGGACATGGAACTGTTGGAACAAGTCCAGAGAAGGGCCACGAGGATGATCAGGGGACTGGAGCACCTCCTGTATGAAGACAGGCTGAGGAAGTTGGGGCTGTTCAGCCTGGAGAAGAGAAAGCTGCGTGGAGACCTCATAGCAGCCTTCCAGTATCTGAAGGGGGCCTATAAGGATGCTGGGGAGGGACTCTTCATTAGAGACTGTAGTGACAGGACAAGGGGTAACGGGTTAAAACTTAAACAGGGGAAATTTAGGTTGGATATAAGAAGGAAATTCTTTCCTGTTAGGGTGGTGAGGCACTGGAATAGGTTGCCCAGGGAGGTTGTGAATGCTCCATCCCTGGAAGTGTTCAAGACCAGGTTGGACGAGGCCTTGGGTGATATGATTTAGTGTAAGGTGTCCCTGCCCATGGCAGGGGGGTTGGAACTAGATGATCTTAAGGTCCTTTCCAACCCTAACGATTCTATGATTCTAAGATGTTCACAATACCCAACTATTCTGTCTACGCTTAAGAAAGATGTTTTACTTTTGCCTAGATTCTACTCCCAAGTTAGAAATAAATGGCTTGAGACTGAACTAGACAGTTGAGGTAGTAAGAAAAAAAATTATACCTTTTAATAGCTAAAAGAAGCATAAATAAGTATTGTACAATCTCTTGGAAGAACTAAAATAAAATTAGTTATATAAGAATGCATGTCAGCTTCACAAAGCACACCCATTGGTCTTGAAATTTATATTACTTAAATATATATGCAAATACTAAATTCCCAAGTTATTAGGGAGTATGATGTTAGGGAGCTTTGCAGATTTTAATTGCATGTGTTCTTGCAACATAAACACTACCTTTTGAGAAGGGCCCTTGCAATCTCAGGAAAGATATCTAAGTGATGTATATGTAATAATGGAGACAGCAGTATCAGCAGCCCTCAATACAAATATGGTACTATGAATATATCAACATGTACAGGTGCAATTAAAACAGAGATGCTTATGTCTGAAGGGACATTTTGCTATCCATTTTGTTTAATGCTTAGGAGGTTACATGGCTTCTTAAGAAGCTCCTGAAGAAGATTTTTATCCCTCCCCTTTCTGAGCTCAGTGCCAATTCCTCCAGGCATCAGTCAACATTTTACTAGAGAAGGTCTCTGGAAGTTTTAAAAGCTTTCAAGAGCAGTTAAACCATTAACCTGAATCTGAAAATTTGTGCAAAGATGTATCAGCTTCTCCAGGAGGAGGATTTTCACAACCACCATCTCCATGGGTTGGCTTTGACAAAGATTCACAGGTGGCAGATTTCTTTGCTGAGCGTTCATGAT